AGGAGTCCGAGGCGAATCTACCAAAGTTTAAACATTATCCACGGTTAAAAACTGCAGACTCCATGTAAAGGGGTTATAGCGAGGTTGTACAGGGAATTAATAGGGACATCGTAGGGATAATACCCCAACAGTGGAAGATCAAATGACAAAAGGATGGAAAAGAACATGGAACATGAAACGGACAGCTAGGATTATGTACAGCCCAAGATCAAGGTAGCGGAATCCGGCTTTCTTTTGCAACTTGACAGGGATGCCCCTTTCATGACATTCCTTCCTGTTATGCTAGTTTTGTCATTCGTGTTTCGAGACGTGAAGGTGGAGGTAAACATACCTAGCCAACAAGAATATATAGCTGCCAGATCCTTTTGCAGAAATTCTTTGTGCATGCATCACAAAGGAACCCCAGTGTTACATCTTTCAAGCATAAACCATGTTACCAACAAACGCGCGTCAACAGTCAAATTTCAAGATGGTCGGGAATGACTCTTTCACTTTTGATCATTTCGGCACGGCAATCGGGGCTTTCGGGACGTAATTCCGGAAGCGGGCAAGCTTCCAGGTCCAAGATTTTGGCTTTGGAGTGGGTCGGCATTTTTCGGCTGTCTCAGCACGCGACCTCAAGAGCAGAAGAGTGTCAAGGTTGCCGGCGAGCAACAATCTTCCGTCTTGTCCAATTTACAGTCGAGAAACCGAAGTTCCCGCGTGACCTGAATGGAGTTGGAATGCCCTGGTTTTCGGTCAAATTATTTGTGGTTCTCGGTCGGTCTTAACTTCTCGAGCGCTTGCTGCTTGTCTGTGTGGTTTGCTAGTTCTCGGGTCGTTTAATACGTTGCAAGGCGAACTAGCCAAGTTGGATGTATGCGAGCTGAATGTCGGAGCTCTCATAAGATAGCCCCAACTCATGAATGGACAGAACACTAAATCAAATAGTGGGGATGAGTGGCAGAATTCTTGACTGCAACAGTACAAGATGTCGACCACATGGAAGCCGCCAAACAAGTGTCAGAAACAAAACCGCTGAGCCACATCTTCAGAGCATGTTGGTATGATCGCTCAGACAAGAGAGTTCTGAAACCGGCACCAACTCACCAACACTAACTCCCTCGTTTCAGAACACGTTGGAAGACCACGTGTAGATTGAGTAATCAAGACTTCCAGCCTTTGGTGAAGCCGTCCCCAAGATTCCTGATAATGAAGCCATTGGAGGGAATCCTTCTAAATTCTAAGACGCAGTCACCGGCCTTCCGGAATTTTCAGAGGCGAGCCACAAGCTTTTGTGCTTATCACGCAGCTACACAGGAACATGTCAGTTTCCCCCGTGTTTCAAATGTCATGTGCAGCACACCTTCTTCACCGGTGTGAGGGAGCGAGCGAGAGAGGGAGAGAGAGAGCTGACTTATATAGTGTGGACACCACGACTTAGAGGGTCACGGGGGCCTAGCAAGTAACTACTTAATAACTTCCATAACCCATATAGTAACCCAAGTTATCCCAACCTACTTACTAAGTCCCCATGACCCTCCAATTAACCACCTTCTTATGATATCAGTCCTCTCATCGTTGCTGGAACAAGCGTTGATGAGTCATCATCCAAACCTCCGTAGAAGGCCGACTCCTGACCAAAAATCCACAGCGTCGTCACGCTGAAATTCTTATCTCATGGCTTGGCGGACAAGACGCCAGTCCACTTAGCGGATTCTTGGTTTTGCTGTGCGGGGTGGTCGCCGCTCGGGATTGCGCCGGCTTCAACACGTTGCTACTACTCACAGGGTCCTTTGAATTTCGGGGCTTTGTTCATGCGTTTGAGCTAGCTCCTGGTAGCAAGTAGCAGGAGTCAGACCTTGTGGAGCCACCAACGCGCAGCGTGCCTCCAAACTGCCGCCCCTCGGACACAGGTCAGATTGAATGATGCGATTAGTATACATTTTGATAATATGTGTACAGTGTATACATATAAGCATACTGAATGTTGCGTTTGTAAATGCATCGATTCTCTGTATCTATGTGTACAGGATATTTTGAAAATACACGGGCGCAGAAAGGCGTAACTTTCGAGTTCGTTCAAGGTTGGCTGTCTTGGTGTCCCTGAAGCATCCAGGGCCCGATGAATATCCAGCATCGCCTGGATTTTGATCGTAGTAAGAGTGTAACCGATTTGAACCCAATGCAGGCTGCAGCAGTTGGACCCATTTTTCACTACCTTGGCAATATTTGAACACGCCTCTTCGGCGCAATTCTAGGGCATGTGTGTCGGAGCCCCTAAAGCATCCAGCCATACACATGCCGAAGCTGCCTGTGCTGAAGTTCTTGTGAAAGCCTTCTTTGCGGCCTAGCTGCCACATCTACCTGAGCTCTGTACAAGGCATGGAGGACTACCTTCGTGACATTCGGCACGTCATCCGATTGATTGGTGTGGTCCTCATGAGCAGCTTGCAAGAAGGGAACATGAATTCTCCTTGCTTGTGATGCATGTAGTAATCAGACCCGGAAGATGCAGTTTGGATTGGTCAAAGCTACCATCAGTCTGTGCCAGGTCCTGGGTTGCCAACAGCTGCGCGGCTGTCCGCGACTGAGAGGGTGCTATAACTTTGATCCAGTGAGCAAACGAGTTAGGATGCATGGGTGACATTTCGTGAACACCACCTGCGAAAACGCATGCGGCGCTGCCACTGGCCTTGATGTTGTTGAAAAGCTTTCTGACAATTCTGGCTGAGGCTAGAGGGCGCCGTGAAAGGTGCCGCGTGGATCTCAGGATGTTGATACATGAAGAGGCTTCTGCTAGAAGAGGTCGATTCTTCCTAGGTAGCAGGATTTGAGACGGGTAGATTTTTGTACACAGCATGTCAGCATGTTAGTTTAATTGCTCGAAACAGGCTCACATGCTACCCGTCCGGCGCCAACATTACAAATTGTGAGCACAAACTTTCCCACAAGACCATCCGGTAGAAGAGACCCATGGGGCCACAGCTGCGTGCACCAAAACCATGGACGATGAGTGACCGACCTCCAAGCTTGATGCTGATTGCTACACACGTGAAGCCTAGTGCCGTCATCTGAAGAACATGACTTGTGGAGAGAGGTGATGGCTTTTGATGCCGAGCTGCACGTGGCGCACCTGGAGCTGGCTAAGCGCAAGGCTCGCTCCTGATGACCTGCAGATACCGAACCCTGGACTTGAGCAGTTTCAAATCGGCATGCGCCCAGCAGATCCCAGACCTGTTTGTTTTCCAGGCCAACCTGGGATCTTTGGTCGAGTCTCGCGCAGAGATCGAGCAGTTGAGGAGCATCCCTGCATACTTCCAGCACTGAGCATGAGCTTTTGGAATCTGAACGTTCGTTGTTTGGAAGTCTCCAGTCACTCTAGTCTAATGACTCCCCAGCGACTAACCGGTGAGTCCGCCAACTCAAGACCTGAACTATGTCGCATGTGGGGTTTGCAGTCCAATTTGAGTCCGCCAGAGACTAGCGTAGAAGCTGCCAGAGTGACTGCCACATTTCTGAGCTTTTCCAGGACAGAGCTGGCAACCATGCAGCAGCAAAACAGCGAGCTCAAGGCTTATACTTACTGCTGAACCATCATCACGCTGATCAACCTTACGGGGCTGAGTGTCCTGCCATGGCCAGCTTCTCAACCCAACAAAGACCTTTAAAAACCAACTTTTTGATCTGCCAGTGGGCCTCCTGCAATCTCGTGTTCCTAGCATCTGAACCCAACTGCTGGACACTTTCTTGCCAGAAGCAGCTGAGCATGGCGGACGACGTGAAGCAAGCAGAGGTGGCAGCAGTTCACAACTCCTCGGCTCCCTCCATGCTTCGCGGATCCTTTCCGTTAGCTTGGGAGATTTGCAAAGAGTCGCCAAGCTGTGGCCCCCCCAAGCCCTTAGTCTTCTGGCTTGGCAGATTCGGACCTACCAAGAGAAGGTCGACAAGCTGAAGGAGGGGCCCTGCATCGATGATGTACGCGTCCGACTAACAATAAGAAGCAGGCCTTGAGCGGCCATGAATCGCATTTGTTTGGAAGATGTGTTGGAAAGGACGAGCTGGGTCGGCTTCACCCAGATGATGCTGCTTGGCTGATCCTGATCGTAAACATTGTTTCATCTACCATTGTTCCTGCATGTCTTGCAACTAGGAGCCAGTTTCCGAACTCTGTGTTGTATCTTTGGGGTTTGGCGTTGGAAGCATCACCTTCCATAGTCTTGTCTGCATCCCTGAACTCCGAGTAGCCCAGATTGCCGTGCTCTGCTGGCAACTGACTGAGTAGCAGAGCAACTGCAGAACTCAGGGCTCCCTGGAGGGTGTAGCCCACATCATGGACAAATGTTTGGCTCTCAGACTGCTTGGAGTAGTGGGGGACGTGTTGCCCTTCAAGGAGCTCTTCACAACTCCAACTGGTTCCCAAACACATGTCTTTTAGGAGGGCCGTTTAGGAACCCCGTTGCCCTGTCCTCTGCCTTGGAGTGTTCGAAGGTCTGGGCTTCTGCATGTCTCAGACCCAAGCTCTAAGCCTCAAGCTCTTCGAGCATTGAGGTGCAAACCTCCTCATGGACCTGGAGGAGCTTAGATGGTTAAGCTTCCCAGGGAAGCGGCAGGGGTAGGTGTGGAGCACATCAGCAGGGAGTGAAGTGGCCCAGCCTCAGATCTTCACAGTATGGTTTGATGTTTCTAGAATGGTCATGGGATGTCATGAGGAATTACCCCAATAATACACCAATATAACCCGAATATACCCCAATAATACCCCAATAATACCCCAATAATACCTTAATAGCACCCTAATAGTACCCCAATAATACTCCATTCTGCAGCGTTTCCGCTCCGTGGCCAGACACCCCCTAGGTCGCGGCTTTACCCGCAGGAGCATGGCAGCCGTATGTGCTGTTGCTTCTGCGGGGCTCTTGTTACTGAACTGGGTTTCATGGCATGTGACTGCCTTCAGCTTTTTTGAAGATGGGGAATGCAGGACAGCAGATGTTGAGGAATTCCCTGCATTTCTGCAGATGGGGCTGAACCTTCAGTCATTGGCGCCTCCAGGCGAGCTTCGGGAACCGCCAAACTTTGCCTGCCCCGGCATATTTCCTAGCTGTCATGGGCTGCCGCAGATCTGCGAGAACGCCAGCCCCAACAAGTTCAGATTGGGCCTTGCAGTTGCAGGTGGACCTAGCGATCCTGACAATCTAGTGCTGGACTTAACGAACGCGCTCAAAGCTGGCGCGGTCCAGATTCTGGTCATGGCACTTTTCAAACAGGGTGCTTACACTGACGACGCAGGGCTCGTGGCTGAGCGAGCCGTACCGCTAGAAGACACCAGTTCCACCCTGCTGGAACTGCGGCTGTCCGGTGACCATCGCAGCGTAAACGTTTATAAGCCTGTTATGGATTTGAGGACGTCCGACCCTCAATCGACTTACTCACTGCGAACTGGCATAGGGAACGGAGCACAGGCCTCCCTACCAAGGCTATATTGCATAGAAGGTGGCCATGACCGGATCATTGTGGACATGAGCCTGCTCCTCCAAGCTGGTTTCTTTGTAGTCAACACTAACCATCTGGGCTATACAAAAACGGTCATCGATGCCAAAGAGTTCCCGACCAACCTGGACATTGCTGTAGAGTACGGCCCGGTTCCGCTGCTTCGAGTGGGGTACACACTGGTCTTGCTTCCGCAAGCACCGATGCAACCTCGCCAGAATGACGACCGCCTACTCTATTTCGACACGCAGTACCGAGACAAGGGCAGTCACCATAAGCAGGCGGGGCACGGCAGTATTATGATTCATTCCTGCGCTGGGAATCCCCACTAGCTGAACTCAGGTAATTCGATCATTGCTCCCTTCTGCTTTGACACCTAACCGGATTCAATGCCCAGAGTTTGTACTATCGGTACCGTTTTGTCCACAGATCCTGCATGGCCGTCATTTGCGGAGGTGCGATTGTACCTTCATATATACATATATATATATACACACACACATAATGTGTTTTGTCATACACCAATTGAGCTATATAGCATCGTCACGTATATAAGTATTAAAGTACATACTACATGCCATACACCATATATTGTATTCCTTACAATACAGTACACAATGACCATGAAATCGACAAACATATATACATATATATGTATGTATGTATTATAGATGTATATGTATATGTACGACAAAGACCACCCAAATTGAACGAGGCCAATGAACCTAATCTGTATATGTTGGATACCGCCACCGCTCACTGACAGTTGGATAACACATCGTATAACTACATATAGCTCTTAGTTTGACCCCCACAATAGACTGTTAATGGATGGGGCCAGGACCCATCGTAAACACTAAGCCTACATAGTAGTTTCCACTTCATTTTCCGTTTTCTTTTCCGTTTGATTCTCCATTATTGAGGCAGTCTCCCTAAACCCTAAACCCCATATAATCCTTGTTATGTAAGATTCGGGGTATTATTCCTAAACCTCAACCCCATAACAACCCCCATATAACCCTGTTCATATGAGATTCCGGGTACGATTCCTAAACGCTAAACCCCATATAACCCCCATAGGACCCCCATAAAGCCCTCATATCATATGACCCCCATATAAACCCCATGTACCCTAAACCCTAAACCCCAGACCCTAAACCCTCAACCCTAAACCCTAACACCTTAAACCCTTAACCCTAGACCCCAAACCCTAAATCCTAAATAAGATCTATGCAGTCAAACCTTGTGCGGCAGAGGCCAGCCAGAAGCTTAGCGAGGCGGTGGACAGCAAGGTCTCCATGATATGGAGGCAACTTTGGGTTTAGGGTTTGGGGTTGAGGGTTTAGGGTTGAGGGTTTAAGGTCTTAGGGTTTAGGGTTTAGGGTTGAGGGTTTAGGGTTGAGGGTTTAAGGGTTTAGGGTTGAGTGTTCAGGGTTTAGGGTTGAGGGTTTAAGGGTTTTGGGTCGAGGGTCTTAGGTTGAGGGTTTAAGGTCTAGATTCGGTAGTTTCCTTACATGAGAGTATAGGGGTTATATAGGGTTTAGGGTTTCCCCAAATTTAGGGGTACCTGTTTGGGGGTTCCCATGGCAAGGATGATGGTATTGGGGTTCCCCAACTTAGGGAATTTACCAAACCTTGAAGCACCCCGAAAGCTACGGTGGGTACTGAAGATCCTGAATGGTCCTAAGTACCTTGTACCTTGGGAGTTATGATTTTAGAGTATACTGAGGTCATGATAGTCATGCAGGATTCTTAGTATCACAAATAGCATAAGTACTGCTGGTTAGAGGCCAGCTCGAGCACTTGCCCTTCATGGATTCCTCTACTTCCTCTTACTGTCCCCCCCCAGGTTTCCTTTTCATTATGACATTTCGTACTAAGGCACAACCTGAGGGATTGGTAAGGGAGCCCATTCTTCCAGCGCATTTGTCGTTTCTGCAAAGCTTGCTAGGTTTGTTGTACTTGCCTGGATAGCTACTGATTATTGTTATTATTGCCGTTACTGCTAGTATTATTATTATTATTAGTACTATTAGGTGATTTTTTCTTGCGGCGGTCATGTGGTCCGGTCTCCGGCAAGGTATAACCTTCCACGACTGCCCGATCAAACTATCCGCAGCCTGGCCACACGATAAAGGGTCTAGGGTTTGGGGTAGTAGTTTCCATTTTCTTTTTCATTATCCCAATATAACCCCAAGATACCATAATTCCTATAGTAGTTTTCATTTTCTTTTCCATTCTCCCAATATACACCCAAAATATAATCCCTATAACTAGTTTCCAGCTTCTTGTCCTTTATCCCTAGACAATCCCAATATAACCGTTGTTGCGCTATCCAAGCCAGCCCTCCCAATTGTTTTAGGTGTCTGAAGCCATTCCAAATCCAAGGCTTTCATGTCGATCCCAGCGTGCCTGCGAGATGGCGGAAATACTTCAAGAGTCTTGGATAGCTTATATTGGGGTAATGGAAAAGAGAATGGAAACTACTATAGGGATTATAGTATCTAGGGGTTCTATTGGGATAATGGAAAAATGGAAACTACTATCTTGGAAACCGTGCCGGTTCAGACCAGGACAACATTTGTATAGTTTCTTATGGGTACTACCATCCATCACACTAGAATCTGATGACCGCCTTGGCAAAGCCAGACCAGTCAGATCTTCATGTGTTACGAAGGTTGATATCTAAGTAAGCCTCGTAGCCATAAAGCAGAAATTCTTGTCATCATAACAGATACTAGCCACCAGTCTCATGATAAAGACAACAGCATGGTAGCAGTGCTGCTGTGTCAACAGGTTTTCTCTTGAAGTCTGACTGCTTCTTGCAAAGCCACATAAAGGGGATCCGTAAGTTTGAGAATTTGAGCACCCACTTAACCGCCAACCAGAAACACCCAGCAAGCTGCTAGCCCTTTAGGGCACTGCACCACTTGCTAAGGCGAGGGATCGAAGCTTGGAACGCGGCCTTTACCTTGATCGAGCGGCCGAGTGCTGTGCGTGCCGTGCTGCCTGGAGACAAGGCAGGCTTCAACATCCTCCCAAACAATATAGTGCAACCTGGGGTCAGACGGAGGGCTGATTGGGGCCCATCGGCCGCGAGCCTTCATGGGACAGAACATGTGCTAACCTCTAGTTCGTCTGCTGAGTCCTTATGAGCGCATCACTCCGGAATCCGCCAGAATGCATTGTAATCCGCCGAATCTGCCCTCGAGTTCAGGACTGGCCAGCAGACTACGACATGTCCGATGCCCGGTTCAGCGCCATCACCTGGGACGTATCCGAGGCCTCCGACCACGGTTTCATGGTATGCCAAGATTTGGTCTGCATGTGTCCTTACACCCAGTTACGACAGCCCTGTCCTAGCACAAGCAAAGACAGAGCAAAGGCAGAGTTTCAGGTTGAAGGTCTAGCGTTTAAGGTTTGAGGTTGTAGTTTATCTGGGCTTCAGCGTTTGGAGGTTTAGAGTTCAGGGTGTAGGGTATCAGTTAGGGGTTCAGGGTTAGGCTTACTTTAGCTACGTAGGCAAGATCCATCAATGTCACCGGACGGAGAAAGGTAGGTTCCTGCAACAATTGGCAATAACAGTATGCTCACAAGGCGCTAGATACCTCTTGGCCCACACATCTGGAAGGCTAGGATGGCAGGCATCTGGGAAACGTTCGTGAAGAAGTAACGGGTCTTGGGGATCCTAGCGGCTGCGGCAGGAGGCTCAAGATTACCAGCACGCCCGTTAGGTGTTTGCGCACCCGGAAACGGGCGAAAATGCGCGTTGGAGTTTTTTTGGGGGCACTGGGCGGGGTTCTAAAGATCTGAGGTTCTGTGTTCAGGACTCAATCATCAGTATGACTTTCATAGCTGTCTCCGTTTACCGCTCCGTATCCTGAATCTCGTCAGCAGTGTTCCAGTGCGCTGCTGGCTCCAACTCTCGTGGGCACAGCGACAGTTGATTTCGAGAGTCCAGCGATCAGTTTTGAACGGCTCATCGATGTCTCAGGGTCATACAGTTCCAGCCAGACATGCCTCAGCTTTCTGAAAGGAGACCCTGAGCATGGGCATTGCGAAGGCGCAGGGCAAAGCTGGATGCTGTTGTAGCCCTGTCCCGTCTATATTCTCAGCTTTGTGAGTAGTTATTTGCAAGCTGCTCCTCGCATCAATAGATGGGTGCGGCTACGCATCTGCACATGCATCAGATGTGATGCTGGACCCGAGCTCGGCCAGGTTGATCCCAGGAGCGGGGAAATTCTGAAGTGCGATGTGGTCATGGGCGACTCTTGGGTGAAGACCTACCTGGAAGAGCTGGAGGCCCATGGGACTTTGGTAGGTAACCATGGGCAATCTGAAGCTTGTTGTACGGACAGGCGCTGCATGTGAAGGAGACAACATGGGCTGATGCTTGAGGTCTAGGAAGGTCAGGGAACGTTTAGCCTGAGCCGCAGCTCCAGCAATGAAAATGCCAGGTGGAATGGGTGAACTTCACCAACTTCCTGCAAAAGACGCCAGCGGTGTCGCTACTCATGCGGGAAGAGCTGGTTGAGCCTGGAAAGACTGCGCCACACAGGACTCCAAGCGGAGGGCTCGCCCCGGGGATTTGGAAGAGAGCTCAACTCTAGAAAGGCAGGCGATACTTTCAGGCTGAGGTGCAATCAACAACTCACAATGAGAAACACGAATTGGGGTGAATCTTTATGCACAACAAAGGCATTCAATGAATGCAATTCTGGACGTGCACTTGTGAGCAACAGACACAGCCCGAACAGCAAGACAGAAAATGTTGGACACATGCGTGTGCGAAGCACACGAACAGTAATTGGCGGCTAGAAGGTCAGAGTCCTTTAGTGCCAGGATTTCATAACTTGGCAGGGGCTCAAGCGGGATGCTGTGAAAGCCTCAAACACGTGCCCGACTTTCAATCAATTCTGTAAATGTTCTTGTTGGACTGTCTCAACCCCACAGCTGACCACCTCGCAATTCGACAGTGGTTCCCGCTAACGATCAGAAACAAGTGCTTGGGACGGACATTTTGGGCTTTATGGATGATGTTTTTGCAAGGCGTATGCGTGGACCTGTAAACTCTACAAACAAGTCGTCAAGCGAAACACTCAACTCCGATGAGTGAACCAAAGTTTTCATTGTGAAGCAAGACGTGCCCTGCAAAATGCTGCAACCTGTTTTGGGGTGAACAAAGCAGGGAACATCCACATCGGCTGCTTCTATCCAATTTCGTAGCAGGCTACAGGGATTATGTGGATAGAGCACACCCGTAGAAGGCTCTCAGTCCCAATGCTGCAACTGCTGTGGTCTCTTACGAGATGGGTAGCCTATCTTGAGCCTATAGGCCTATACATCCCCATGTGTAGAAAAAAGGGCTGCATGTGATATGGTAGTTTCCCCCAAGTACGGAACCCCAATATAGACCCCAATATACTGTAATCCTTATTATGGGGACCCCTAAAAAGGTACCCCTAATTTTGGGAAACCCTAATTCCTATAATCCCCTATATAATCACAGTTTCCATTTGATTTTCCATTATCTTTTGGATTTGATTCTCCATTATGGTAGGTACCCCTAATTTTGGGAAACCCCCATATGCATCACAGCAGGATCCTGCAGCTTCTACAGCAGGGCAGTGCGGAACGCAAGTCTCGCAGCTTCGGCTTTGCCGCCGCCGCTCTGTCTGCACTGGCAAAAGGAATAGTAATAACAGTACTTGTAGTAATAATAGTAATAATAGTAATAATGGTGATCATAGTAATAGTAGTAGTACTTGTAATACTTGTAATAATTTTACGAGCAGTAACACGAACAGTAACATTTTTGACCATAGTAATTGGTCCGCGGAGCTGGCAGCTTGTATAGCTCGCGGCACTTAGTTAGGGCAACTCAGATGTGGAGTGGATGTGGAGGGTTTTATGCTCAAGCTGAAGCACCAAATAGCTGCCAGGAGCCGTATCCACTAGCTGGGGTGACAGGAATTCAGTGTCACAATGCTATGGGTCGAAGCATGCACAAGGAGTCGCCATGCCGCATGCATGTGGCAAGGGCCAAGCGCTGCAGTAGTTTTACGATGGTAGAAGCGGTAGTGGTTGTGGGGGCAGGGCTCGCGGTGGGGGCGGTGTCAGCAGTGGTGGTCATCAGTTGTGGCATGCTGGAAGAGTCACAGGCAGTACAAGAGTCATATGGCAGTAGTGAGGATGACGTCGGTAGATTCAACCCCAACTCCAGACTCAATTGAAAACCAGGGTTGGACAAACATGCAGATGAAGTAGGGTTGACAATACAAGTGCAGCCAGATGCTATGCTATCAACTATCTTTACCGATACAGCTTTGGGCTGAGGCTTATATGCAAAAGCGCCTGGAGAGCAGCGAGCTGGAGGCGCGCCCTACAAAAACTTGAAGCCTTGACTTCGTGTTGTGCTCCTAAGCTCTTATGGGTGCGCAGGGGTCCGACAAACTCCAATGCATCGTGGCAAATGGGGTGTGGCATAGAGTAGGGCAGTCTGTAGTTGCCCGACGCTTTCATGAGAGGCGCTGCTTGGCTCTGGGCTACAGGAGATTGTGGCACATGAGGCCGCGTTGCTGAATCCTCTGCTTGGAGTATAAGCTGTTGCCTGAGAGCTGTGTGTCCTGACTCTGCCTCTAGAAATTGTGCATGCTTATATATGCAAGTTTGCTTGTTGGTGCTTTTGAGCGCTGTCAAGCTACAAAATCCCTAGGTTCAGTGTCGGGGCTATCTAGGACTTCTGGTTTGTTTCTGGTGTGAAGATTGACACTTCTTTTCTGTTTTCTCAGAAGATCCTGCCAAAGAAACGCAACAAACAGATCTGAACAGTCCTGTGTCAGAACAGCGGCACCGAAGAAAGGCGACTTTCGTCTTTCTGGCAGCGCTCTCTCAAACTTGTTTACCCTGTTTTCGGGGCAAGACGCTTCCTCAAATCCTGAAGACAGTCTTCCTGGCGACGACAATACTGACAGTTGCAGTGGTTTTCGGAGCGGCGATAGAGATAACAGCAGTCATATTCATATGATAGTAGCACAAACAGTAGGAATAGTAGTAGCAAGAGCAGTAGTAATAATAGTAGTAATAAGTGTATTCTTGCTAATAATGATACTAAGACTGATCTTTTCGCAGGTCGGTCACTGCCTGGGCCTGCGACACAACTTCAAGGGTTCGATGGGAATCAGCCGTTGCCTCGGTGCATGGACTGCTCCGTAAGTTTGGGGCTTGAGAAGAAGGAAACTATTTCAGTTACCCTGATTATTATTGTTATTATAAGTATTCTTACTGATATTACAATTAGTATTATGGCTACTATGATTATTAGTGTTGTTATTGTGGTTACTATGGGTGCTGGGATGTCACAGGGATTGAGTCTTGTACTCAGCAAGTTGTGTTTGGATGTGTTCCGCGTTGTTTTCGGGTGTTTGCATCCCGTCTCGACCACCTAGATTCCTTCGAATCTGGAAGGGCAGCTTTTCCTTCCCCAGTAGCACATCTGCCGGAGAATTTAGCTTGTGGAGGAAGCCTCCCAGTGTTGCTTCATTGGCTCAGCGCGCAATGCCTTAGACTCAAAATCTGAAAGCCGTACCACACACATCCATGTAAGCAAGGAAAGGTTGCCTGCAGACATGCATTCGCAACTAATTTAAAGCCTTACCCTTGAAAAAATCTGCCAGGTGAGGAGTGCTTGAAAGATATTCACTGCACAGCCCGGCACGGAACCTCAGTGCCCTGGCAGGGAGGCTGCTGGCCTTACGGGCTACCGGATGGTCGGTGTTTTATAATGAGGGGCAATTCTTTTCATATATGGGCGACTGCTGATAGTGCCTTGATTCCATTAATTATGCCAACAAGCCCCTGCAACAGTTCTCCAGTAGCGAGGCAGAGTGTGGAGGCAGTTCTGCCTGCATCTGTGCACGAGCTCGCCCAGGCAAGTGTCATGGATTATGTCCCTGTGAATCTGCCGAAGCCTGGGGAAGCGTTGCGTCACATCTGGTTGCCAGGCTGCACGGGTTTGCCTATTCGGCTCCCAGGTCCCAATTCAAGGTTTCACTATGGCGTCCGCAAGGGCGTTTGCGGCTGTGCCCTCTTTGTGCAGTGGAGTTATCCAGAACTGGAATGCCAAAATTGTTCTGCTCCCTTGGCTTGAGCCAGAACTCTAAGAAGCGAATGCTGATGCTTGAATCCTTTTGTCAACGTACTCTCATATACTGGTAGCAAAGTATGGCCTTGCCCTTGGAACTGCAGCTGACCCTGGCCCGCAACGGGAAGTTTGAAAGGGGGTTTGCGCTGCCCTATTCTCATGCCTTGGAAGCAGCAATTCTGTGGTTTCTTGGGAGCTGCTCGTCTTGCCTGTGTGAATGTGCTGGCTGACAAGGTCTCCGACCGTTGGCGAATATGACAAATTAGCTATTCGATACGGATACACGCACCTGCAGACGTCCGAAAGTGATCCGGGCCTGCTGCAAATACTCGAGGACTCGTTGTTCGTGTTGCAACACTGTCTGCACGGCCGCAGTGTGCCACAAGATGAGTGCTTGATGCCTGTGCTTGTAGCCTTTGCCACATTCTGAAGCCTCACGTTTGAGATGCAAAACTTCTCCAGCAGGACGTCCGCAGACGCGCTGAACAGTTTCAGACTTGCTATGATGATGACCTCTATTTGGGTGAAGACCCGTGCCTTGGCGCCAGCGGATGTGCTTGGCCATAGGCAGCATTCATGCTCTAGTTTTTGGCTGTCCAGGTCTTGCTTGGATTACGACTTGTCTGCCGACCCATTGGGCTATTGGGAGCAACAGCTGGATCTCTATGCTGACGTGCAACGGCACCTTCTGGAGATGTCAGTCGCACCAAGGGAATCGTATGATAACTATGGGCGAGCGGTGCATTCCGTGGTGGGAGGATTTCTGCCTGACATTGGCATCAATGCAGTATACTACTTGGGAGGAATAAACAACACATACTTGCACAAGTATGCGGATCAGACCCGTCGATCCAGGTCGCTGGCAGCGCAACACAGATTATCTGTTTTTAGGGCTACCATTGTTAGGTCTTGTACTCCTGATCACCAGAAATCCCAAACGGCCCTACTAAGCTAGGCCCTCCTTGCTGGTTCTGCGCTGCAAGCTTTTTGTAAAAGGCAGCCGATGCCAGCGGAAACGCAGCGGCGGGCACTGGCGATCATCCTGCGTATCTTGCGGCCAAAGACTGAGGGTTGCCAGGCCTCGATTTATGCCCCGGCTGTGCCCTCTAGTGGTGATAGATACAGTACGAGTACTCACCAGAATGGTTATACTAGTAATGGTAATACTGGTTATCATAAATTAAGAAGGATTAGCTAGATTTCAGGTTTGAGTGCGAACCGCTTCGGAGAGGCTAACTGATTGTAGGTACTGTGGATGGCAGGTGTAAAGCCCTTTCATTGGGGCTCGCATCAGGCTTGCTGGGTTTAGGGTTTAGGGTTTGGGGTTTAGGGTTTAGGGTTTGGGGATATTCTCCCCCTATAATGGAGAATCAAATGGAAAAGAAAATGGAAAATGACATGGAAACTGGGGGAATATAGGGATTTAGGGTTTAGGGTTTAGGGAAGAAGACAGTGCCCTCTCGCGCTTTGTGGCGGCTGGGAGGTGGGCTTCCATCTGTTCTCCATAATTGTAATCCCTACGTAGGCTCGGCTCTATATAACCCCTATACAATTCCTACGTTACGGCTATATAACCCCTATATAGCAGCTATATTAATAACTGTAGTAGTAGCAGTATTTTTCTACAAACACAAGAGTAATAGCATTGATAATATTGCTTTATTGAATGAGTTTCCGAAAATGGGTTTGGACCCCAGCACAATCCCAATATGTGATAATCCTTAGTATGGTATCTCCAAAATGTTACCCTAACATTGGGAAACCTTAATTCCCATAAACACCCAAATAATCCAAGTTTCCATTTCTTTCTCCGTTTTCTTTCGATTTGATGCTTCCTTATTGGGGGTAAGATTCCCATATAACTTTCATATTCCCTACATAACCCTCATATAGCCCATGTAAACCTTAAACGCTAAGCCTTAAACCCTAAACCTTAAACCTTGAACCCTAAACCCTAAACCGGGTGTTTTAAGCCTTTTGAGCCCAGGACTGCTCCCACCAGCCTCTCAGCAGCAGAAGGGGCGGCTGGTGAGCCCAGGGTAGTTTCCATAAATTAGGGTTCGTGTAAGGGCTATATAAAGTTATGTAAGGGTATGATACTACCAAGATTCTATAAGAATATTATGTTACAATGGTTATACAAGGATATTATGGTGATAGTATCCGGTTAGCGGAGCATCAGCTGGAGAAGCCCTGAACTGTGATTTTACTGATCCCCAGGACTCGAATCTGCCTTATCTGGTGGATGGAAGTCAGTTGCAGGGCGTTTGCTGGCAGCAAAAAGATTGGGATTATGTGGGGATTATATAGGATTTCAGAACATACTTGTAGTGGATGACGACAACCTAGTATGAAGCACGTTTTCGGGCAGTGATCTCCTAACCTCTTAGCGGTTTCGTTGCTGATAAGGTTGAACGGCAGAGGACTTTCAAGTGGCAGGGCTTCGGAGCCTCATGCTGTCTGTACATTTCCTTATTAATTGTCCTCTGGGACGGGAAACGGGATGAGTGTTTGCTTGAAACAACAGCACGCGGAATCGTCAATCCATACTTGTTGCTCTGTTTCGATTGCGAGCCAGGGTTGGTGTCGGTGTTGAAACACGAAGCTCCGAAGCTAATGGCTTCAGGGCCTGAGGGCGAAGCTACTGGCTTCAGGGCTTCGGGTGAAAAGGCGAATCTCCGAAGCCATCAGCTTCGGAGCCTTGGGCAAACCTACTAGCTTCAGGCCTTCGGGCGACGCCAATACCTTTGAAATTCAGGGCGAAGCACCAGAGCCACTTCTACTAAGTTCAGGCGAAGCCAATTGCTCCGAAGCCACAAGTTTCAGGGGGAAGCTACTAGCTTCAGAATTGCGGGGGAAACTACTAGCTTCTGGGCTTCGGCTGAAGCCACAACTCTGCATGAAGCTCCGAAGCCACAGGTTTCAGAGCTTCAAAAGAGTCGGTCGTTTCTCTAACCCAATTGGTTGAGCTGTGACACGGGTAACAAGTAGTCAGTAAACCAGAACATCAAAAGCATCTTTGCTCACGACTGGAACTTGGAGGAGCCTGTTCAAGGCTTAACGGCAAGTTGTATACAAAGCCTGCCAGCCAAGCCATATGCTTTGCCTTAAGGTTCATCGCGTTGGTCGTCCTGTCGGTTCCTTGTGCTGTTGTTGGTTGTTGTTTGGCTTGCAGATTCTGCTTCGGTTGCGCCTTTTGTCCGGCCGGGCCCGTGCCGGGTCGACTTTCACCTAACCTCACCTCACCCGCACCATGGGCCCGGGTTGGCCTACATCGGTTGGCCTACAGGGTACGTACTCGTACTCGTAGCATGGTCTAATTTCAGCTCATTGCTTGCACTTCTTTTTTGTGCTCGTGCATGCGTTTGAGCGCGGCGTTGGTGCTTGCATTGCAGTATTCTATTACAGGTGGCGAACATCTGCATATCCGCGCTGCCTGCCATTCTATGATGGTGACTAGTGTTTTTCAGCAAATCCAGGTCGTTATGCTGGCTGCATCTGGCTGCGCTAAATATCCACCGTCGCCTGTGGTTGTTTACCTTGTCGTGTACGATAGCAACAGACATTCGGAAGATAAAAGGTTAACTGCTCGTGAACGCGCCTGATTGAACATGCTGTGCTTTTTCACATAATAGTATCCAGCTGATTCGGGCTTAGGATGCTTTTAGGCTGCCGAGTTTTGACAGAGAGCCAGACAACTCGGCAAGGCCATCGAGAGCCTGGACTTGACAGACCTCGTGCGACGTCTTCGGCAACTCCTGCTAGAGGTAGGGTTTAGGGTTTAGAGTTCTGTAGGACACTTCGGGACACGGAACTTCGGCTTTTAAGGGTTTCAAATGATGTTAAGGTGTTGCAGTCACTGGTTATATTGGGGTATTCAAGTTAAAGGTCCATTACACATGGAGACATGGCCTGTCAAATCCCCAGATCTGCCTGCAAGTCAGGTAACGAATCCAGTATACAATAAGTTGCGGGCCACGACCAAACAAAGCAGAGATTCTTTGGAGATCGTACCCTCAATGAACTGTACCCCTATCTTCCCTCATTCTCCATTTCATTTTCCATTTTCTTTTCCATTGGACTCTATATTATTGAGGTTGCATAGGGGTTGATTTTTGTTTCGGGCCAATTCTTGAGGCTGCTCCAATGATGATTGGTTCGTGATGAAACGTTTCCGGGGTTTCCTTTCAGCAGCGTGCCCTCGTTTTGCACCAGCGCTGTCACAGGAAGTTTTGCGCTCCGAGCGCCTCCTACAGGTTCACAAGCAGGACTGAGCTGAGATTGGATGTTGGGTTCACGGCCTTGTCTCGAAGTTTTTACAGGATGTCCAGTTTCCAATCGAAAGCCAAACGTGGCAATCACAAGAAAGCGCGGGCTTGCTAAGATGGAGGGATGTGTTTTGAGTGCCTTGAAAATGAAGCTTGGAGGAGAATCTTCTGGCCCCCGGAGATGCAGATGCCTTCACGGTGTCCGAGCTCCTGTCCACCTTGGTTTACGGGGTTATGAGTGCTGGGCTCGACAAAATCACCTCAGAGGATGAGCAAGATCTACAGCGGATCTTTGTGCAGATCCTGTCATCCAAGCTTCCGGAGCATGTGCAATTTCTTCCTGCGGATGTCATGACCCAACTACGCTACTTCCGCAGCTTTGTGTATGAAATGGCTGATGGTGCTTTGAACCGTCTATCTACCACGGCGAAGGGGGCTCAGTGGAGTACATGTGCAATGTTCAACAAGACCTGCACCTGTACTGGCCTGGTGCGGCTGAGACTCTCGAACCTCACCAGCGCTGGTCTTTGGTCAGGCACCGACAAACGCTGCCTCCCACTTGACTTCACAGTGAATACCTCGGCATCCGACTTGGATGCGGAGGATGCTTGGTGTGAGTGCCTTTCGCTAACAAAGGCTGACATGGACCTGAGGGAGGCTCAACGATTGCACGTGGAGTCGCTGAAGAATATGCTCACCGAAAGCGGAGGCGCACACCGAGGAGAAGGCAAGGATTGAGCTACCAGCATGGATGGGTTCTGAGGCATGCTGTGGCCCCTTTGCAGCCAGAAGAGAAGCAAGAGCGTGAGAAACAGACAAGCTCCTCAGACCTGTTGCATGCAACATAGCCGGGGTGGTACTATTTTCCAAAGAACCCTCCGAGTTTGCAACACACCATGACAACATAGCAAGCCTGATAAGTCTGGGGCCACCGATCACCGAGCTTTGCCGTGTTCTTCAGGGTTTCACCAAATATACTATAGTTTAATCCCTATAATACCCTTTATACCACAAGCTTCCATTTCATTTTCCATTTTCTTTTCCATTTGATTCTCCATTATAGGGATATACTAACCCCAATAAAGAAAGATCCCAAGCCATGGTGATTTCCGGATTCCATGACCCCACAGCCAACTCAAGGAGGAATCTGCTGTGCAGACCAAGATCTTGCAAGACATGTGCCAGCCCAAGCTGATACCGGAGTCGCAGATTGTTTGAAGGTTTTTCTTGTGCATGGCATGCGGAATCACAGAGACGAGCCTATCCGACTCTGCCTTCATGTGTACAGTGTAGCCTTATAACATATGAGCTATAGTCTAAACTCCTTAAAGGGGGTTATATAGGGGATTATATAGGGAACTACTATAGGGGATATTAAGGGGGATACTAGGAGTTTAGACTATGGCTCATATGGTCTCGCAGCTATCCGTGTGCCATTCTCTGGCCCAGGAGCGAGTACACGGCGCACATTGTGCAAGAAACCGTCTTGGCCTAAGTTTGTTCAGTCAGTCCATCATGTCTAAATTCACTTTCTATACGGACCAAGTATGAATGGTTGGGGATGGCAGGGGCAACTTTGTTCGGTGCGTCAGCCTGTCTAACCTTGCGATCCCTCTGAGGAGTTTGCAAGAAGACACTTTCTTTCGGCCTGATGTCCTCATGCTGGGCCATGGCCACGCTCACTCACCCAAACCCAGGATCCTCTCCGTGTGGACCGGTCCCTAAAGCTCGAACTCCCAATTTAGGTGTTGGTTCTTGTGCGAGCCAGCTGCCCGGCCCAGGATGACCTGGACCCATCAAGGATTCAGCTTCATCGACCTGGGCGGGTAGTTGAGTTGCCAGACGGCGAGCTGCAGCCAGGCACCGAGCTACAGCTGTCTTGAAAGAACAGTATCTGTACAGCGTTCGATTTCATCTCAACCCTTGCCTCGAACAACAGCATCCTCTGTTGGTTATGAGGCTTCGACCCTACTCAGTCGCCGAGTGCGCGGCTCGATAACTTGTTGAAATCTCTGGCAGCAGTGCAGGGAGCTTCTTGAGGCTTGGTTGAAGCCACCGGTGATATGCTTCAATGGATCCGCTGGCATTTGTCTGCAGGTCTATTGCTGGCTCAGCAGGTCCCAGTGTCGCTCCAGCGGATGCAAGTAGGTCAAGTCAGGCAAGTAGGTTGAGCGATGTTCAGGGGTTTCATATCCAGCTAGCTTCCTTTTGCTGAGCGATGGCCTTCCAAAACGCATTCTACCTAGACAAGAACGGCTTGGGCCACTGGATGGCATTGGGGAAGTTTATGGCACTTTGTTAGTGGTGGGGGTAGGAGGTCAAGCTGCTCAGTGCAGGGAAGAGCCACTTAAAGCTAACCTGAGGCTTGTCAGAAGACTTACCCTTCCCTCTGGACTCGTCGCTCTACCGGGAGATCAACATCGGTGATGCCCTGGAAGACCGCGCGCCGCAGTTGAATGCTGTTTTCTTGAGGCCTCGGCTGGTTGAGGTGACGCCCAGCCCATTGCCAAGCAGCCTCACGCCACAGCGTCCAGGTCTCTGCTCCACTTGGGAGGCTAAGCCATGCAAGGAGCCCCGAAAAGGGCCCGTGAAAGCTAACCTGAACCAGAAGAACCACCGGAAGCTAGCACCGCGAAGACACCAAAGGATGGGACGAGGTGCCTTTGACTTCACCATTGTGTTCTCCGGTTACGACCATGACAAGCACGCAGATTTCGAGCTTGTGCCACGAGTGATCGGCAAGGGAGGCTGCAACATGCTTCCTTTCCCGCGCATGGGCGCCTCTGCTCGCGTTTGTGGTCAAGGCAGTGGAATCTGTGAAGTTGAAGCGCACGGCCAGAATCAAATCGACGAAGATGAGACACTGCAGCTCGTAGTGTGCTGCAGCACGAGTCTGGGTTGCAATTGGCTCAGGATGGAAGACGTCGCTTGCGTATTTCCTGGGGCACTAGGCTATGTCATGACGTGTGAGCATTACTGTGGCTAGTGCGTTTGCTCATTCTTCCCAGGAAGGACGTTATGGATGAGGCCATGTCATGGGCCCAGACTTTTCTCGGGGAGCTTCGCACTCATTTCCGCCGCTTCTGCCGTGCCTCGGGCAATAAAATCCCTCGCCTACCAGGCTGTATAAAGTTTGCAATTACTTGCCATCCGAATTGTGTTTGATTTCAAAACCGGACTTGGGGTGTGAATCTTGTTTGGTGACGCTGCTCCGAGCATCAAGCCAGAAGCTGTACAAGACCTCAGGCAAGAAGGGCTTCCCGTGCCCGGAGCTGTACTACATGTATGGCCGAAGTGACATGGACTGACGCGGCATGATCTTCAATTCAGAGTGTGACCCTTTAAGCGCCGCCAGAATCCCTGGCCGTCTTTCCTCACAGACTTCCGTTCCCTTTCTTGTATATGTACCACCTTATCCATCCTGACGCTTCGTAGCCACCACCGGTCCACGGCTTCCGGTCTGGAGGCGTACTCACATCTGGGGTCACTCTTTTTTTTTCAGATCCTTGAACCAGCTTGCATAAACATGCCTTGGGGCGACTGACATGGAGGAGGAGGCGCGGCTAATTGGTTGTGTAGGTGAAATGCACCCTCAACCTAAGGACATGCTTTGAGAAATCTCCTCGGCCAGGCTTACAGCCACACAGTCTTGCAGTCGATCGACAACAGTGTATATAGAAGAGCCTTTCCATCAACACTAAATCGCTCATTCCTCGTTTTGGACAGATCGCTGATGCGTTGTGGCAATCCTCGACTCACTGAGCACGCTAAACTTCAGCAACAGCATCAAATCTCCCCCCTTTGATTGTTCTCTGGGGATATAATATCATATTATAGTATACTATATTCGATTATATAATATTATATTATGTATATTATATTATATATTGCTATATTATAATGTATTGTCATCATGTGGAGCCGCGCGGAGCTCCAACAGTGATTCATTGATTTCTTGCGCCTCTCATGCACTGGCGTCATCCCACCAAGCATACAGGGTTGCAAGGCTAGATATCCGAAGGCCTCCTTGATGAATAGCTGAGAAAGGTTTGGGGCAAACAACAGGGACCAAGTAGGTGGCAGGCAACGTCAACCCTAGGATCGTTTGCAGAGAATTTGGTGGGAGTCCGGAAGTTTGACTAGGCCCAGAAGTCCCACATGCCGCTCCTCCTCAGATGGATCCCAACTGTCTTCAATCCTGGGTCAGTGCCACAAGTAGCCTGGCTCTTTGTGACCTGACGTCTTGTGGAGTGTGGTGCAGTCAGAGTAATTTCTTGAGGCACGCACATTGGTCACTTCTTTCCACACTGTCACGGAGTCATGGCGCGCTTAGATTTGCGAGATGTTCACCGAAAAGGAGTACACGTTTGAAGTGCCTGGCGTATATTACGGAATTCAAACCGTGCAGTTACGTGGGGGCAGTTGTCTGCAATCCCATGTTGGCCCCTGGGCAGAAGCTCTCCGGAAAGGCCTTGAGAGACGCCCAATGGCAGGCCTAAGCTGCTGGGATTCTGTGTTTTCTCCCACGATTGCAAGATCGGCTTGCTGTGAAAGACAGTTTCGATTGAAGTGGATCTTTTTTTTTCTGCGCCGAAGGGACAGCCACCTGTGAAAGGTGCAGAACGCGAAGGACTTAGCAGAGCTTAAAATCGTCTGCTAATTAGAACATGTGACGGGCTGCAGGTACCCTACCAGCTGGCCTGTAGATTGAAGGAAAGGTTTCGTGGCAGATTTCTGCAGGGTGCATCCGCAAGTCGGAAATGTGGGCTTTGCATGTTTCATATCAATTGCAGGAAGAATTTGGTGATGCGACCGAATAGGAACCTTTCTCCAGGAATGCGACAAATGCATGACAGCGCACAGGAGCGCCACCTTGTAGACGGCGCGGCTAGTCTTACCATTGGCAGTGACTTTATCTTTCGTTAAAGTATGATGTGAGATCAGGTTCAAAGTCCATGATTCTCTACTATGGAGCAAGATGTAGCGGAATGCCTCAGTGCCGCTGCCACACAAAGGTTTCACGTCTTTTGGGACTTGCCGTCCGTTGCTGCTACCCCAATGTTCCGGGAATACTGGCTGTGCAGTTAAGGGATAATATTCCCTGGCCTACCGGCATGTCTTTCGCAAATTTGCTCGCCGTGCGGTAGATGACCTTTGTTTGTAAAGGGCTAGTAGGAGTTATAGAAGATGCTAGGACTACAGAAGTGGAGCAAATCCTCGCAAGGGCCTTCAATCAGTCATCTCTCGACCTGAGAGCAGCAATTGTGGAAGCGACTGGCCAAGGCCTGATCTCTGTTTCGTTTCAGCATTTGAGCGCACAGGAGTATGAAGCGGACTGAAAAGCTGCCGTGCTCGCCCTTTGGTGATGCACTTGTGCGTGTCATGGAGGGGTGCTGTCCAGGCAGTCCATCCAAGTCATTGAGACGGATTTGCTGAAGGCAGCGGCGCGTTCAAATCTTCCAGAGTGAACACGGGAAGGGTTCTTCGCTGCTCGACACAAGAGGTTCACGCTGTTAACGCGTGGGTTCTCCAAGCGCAGGGTGTTTCCTGTCACAGCTATGCAGCATCAGCCTGCGCCGCTCCTTGCTGCAGATTGTTTTGGCATTCAGGTGGATAATGATGCGCCAGTGAAATACCGAACGCCGGAGACCTACCGCACTCTGAAAGCAGTCTGCAATTCACCAGACATTCTACAATTATACCCTTGTTTGGGACATCCTCAAGGTCAATTGGTCATATCTTTATATGAGCAACCGTCAATACTC